CCGCGGAGCAGGGAGCCCGATGTGGGGCTCGATCCCAGGACCCTGGGATCATGACCTGAGCCTAAGGCAGACGTTTAACGACTGAGCCACCCAGGTGCCCCAAAACTTTACTTTTTTTAAATTTAGATTCAATTAGCCAACATTAGTTTCAGATGTAGTGTCAGTAATTTATCAGTTGCATATAACACCCAATGCTGATCACATCACATGCCCTCCTTAATGCCCACCACCCAGTTACCCCACCTCCCATCCAGCAATTCTCAGTTTGCTTCCTATAGTTAAGAGTCTCTCATAGTTTGTCTCCCTCTCTGATGACTTCCCATTCAGTTTTCCCTCCCTTCCCCCATGATCCTCTGTGCTATTTCCTATATTCCACATATGAGTGAGATCATATGATAATTGTCTTTCTCTGATGGACTTATTTCACTCAGCATAATACCCTCCGGTTCCATCCACATCAATGTAAATGGTAAGTATTCATCCTTTTTGATGGCTGAGTAGTATTCCATTGTGTCTATATCTATATCTATACACATCTTCTTTATCAGATATTCTTTATGTGTGTGTGTGTGTGTGTGTGTGTGTATACACCACATCTTCTTTATCCAGTCCTCTGTTGATGGACATCTCAGCTCTTTCCACAGTTTGGCTCTTGTGGACATTGCTGCTATGGATATTGGGGTACAGGTGCCCCTTGAGATCACTACATTTTTTTTTCCATTGGGTAAATACCTAGTAGTGCAATTCCTGGGTCAAAGGATAGCTCTATTTTTAACTTCTTGAGTTATCTCCATACGGTTTTCCAGAGTGACTGCACCAGTTTTCGTTCCCACCAACAGTGTAAAAGGGTTCCCCTTTCTCTGCATCCTCATCAACATTTGTTGTTTCCTGACTTGATAATTTTTGCCATTCTGACTGGTGCAAGGTGGTATCTCATTGTGGTTTTGTTGTATTTCCCTGATGGCAAGTGATGTGGAGCATTTTTTCATGTGTCTATTGGCCATTTGGATGTCTTCTTTGGACAAATGTCTGTTCATGTTTCCTGCCCATTACTTGACTGGATTCTTTGTTTTTCGGGTGTTGACTTTGATAAATTCTTTATAGAT